TTGCACCATAAGTACCATGACGATCAAGAAGACTATCAACTGAAAATAATCCATCTGCAGGCAACCTTGGCATAAGTTCACCAATAAGACATGTAACTTCATATAATTCTTGAGAACTTCTTGGAAGCAATTCAATCTAAAATAAATTAGAAAAAAATATTAATATTAATATTTATAGTTTATTAATAAAAAGTTAACTTATAGGTATAAAMAATATTTATTTTTACCTGAGTAAGTTCTGGAGAAGGAGATCCAGTTAGAAGGTAGCAAAGAGTTTCAGCAATATTATTTTTCAGTAAAGTTTGTGACAATTCTGGACAGTTTGTACATAATGTTGACATCATTCTCAACACCATTATAAATGTATTTGTACTCATAACAGGAGGAGATGCAACGACCTAAATAGATTAATAAGACAATTTATATATAATAATTACCAAGTTAGGAAAATTAAATATGTTACCAATTGTTGAAGATTAGTCAGTAATTCATCACTTGCTATCTCTTTTAATTTAATAGGATCAGATTGGAAGTTCTCGACCAAACGACTAAATGCTAAACAAACACTTTCTACGCTTTTCTTATCCTAATATCAAAAGAACAACATTAAAATGAATAATGGGTCATTTTTTTTTTTACAAACAAAGTCTATCTATCAATCATAGTAAACAACTACATAATTTAATTTAATATTTTGAAGAAATAGTGTATACCTGTTGAGTAATACGACTTGACAGTAATGGTAATGACTTGGAAACATAGTGAAATTCATCAGCATTCATATTTTGACAACAATTTGCAGTGATAGCTAGAGCTGCTCTCTGTGCATTAATGCTAAAGAAATCTATAAAAGTCAAGCATGCAGCCACACCATTCTAAAAACAAATAAGTTTCCAATACATTAGTTCATTAGGTTATTTAAACTTAATATAAAAGTTATATATTTATAAATATGCACTCACTGATTGTAATATAGATCGACCGTGTCTTCTGGAAAGCATTTCTAAAGCAGAAAGAGATTGTTCAGCTACATCCATGCATTGGATTGCTTGAAGTTTATCCAGCATTGCTGGAACAGCATCAAGAACAGCAGCTGATGAACGAGGAAGTGCTTCCATCATATAAGTTAAAGCACGACAAGCATGATTCATCTAAAAATATTTAATATAAATATTAAATTTAAAGGAATAATATATTCTTTAACGCAATTATATTGGTAATTTCAAGTATTTAGCAATTGCCTGGTGTTTATACCTCACACCATTTGATATGATTAAGTAATAGTTAATGATGTTTAAGAAAACATTTTTATGATATATTAAGTTGCTAATTTTTTTTCATAATATTTATAAATTGATTTATACAACATACCATATCAAAATTGTGTTCCATCGAAAGTAAAATTATTAGTGCAGAGACTACAGGTTTCACAGGAAATCCAGTTAAAGTGTCTTCATTACCCATAACCAACATTTGACACATTTCAATAACAGCTTGAAGTTGCTGTCCTTCATCTCCTGTAGCTTGCATTCCTTGTAATAATTGTTGAGCTTTAGAGGCTACAAAAGAAAATTATATAATAATATTTATTAACTTAATAACATAAAACAAAATAATATATAACAAACACATATATGGCACAATTTTTTTTTCATTTTAAATAAGCTCTTACTTGTAGATGCAGCACCCATAGAACGATTGAACAAATGATGCATACGAGGGGCTAATGCGCCAAATAAATGGGGCGGTAGTCCTCTAGATTCTAATAATGCTTGTAAACGACCAACTTCACCTTCCTCTTCACTATCATGACTAGTAGTTCCACTACTCCATGCTGTAGGCCCTTAAATAATTATAGAATAAGTGTTTATGGTTCATGTATTAAGGTTTATATAAAAAGAAATGAAAAAATTACAGTTCACACCACCTCCAGTAGCTTGTGTGCCAGATGAAGAAGGATTAGTATTTGAAGTGGTGGATGATGATGTAGCCATTTCTGGGACATTATTGCTGATTGAACTCGATGTGGAAGGTAATATATTGTTCATGTTGTCATTACTTTCAGCCATTCCATCCCCTTCAACCACTCCTTCCATAGCCAATTCTGCAGCCTCTCTGCCACTCGCTTTGGTATTACCGCGGCGACTATGATTAATTAAAGTGAAAATAAAATTTATAAATCAAAGGAAAAAGTTAACTGTTTTATTACCTGCTACTAGCACAAGACCCCGTTGTTGGTCTTCCTCGTTTCCTACGCAGCGGTAAAGACGCGCGTAAATTAGTTTCCTCCCTATTCTTACTTTGACTTGAAGACGTACCTATAATTATATAAGTTATAACATTTAATTTATAACAAAATACAAAAAATTTAATTAATTATACCCAGTGTAGGGAGTTCTAATTTTGGCCGTTTATTAGGAGAAGGTTCTGTTTCTTGGGTAGAAAGTTCGTTGGTTAAATTATGTTCTTCAGAGTGTGATGATCCTTTTGATTTACTACGCAATGGATACCTATTTTTAGCAGGGCTGAAGTTTGAGCTATCTACTTTCTGTTTCCCTTTAAAAATAAAAAAACAAAACAAATTACAGTGAGTTTTGCTAAGAGGAAACACTTAATAATTCAGCTGGAATAACCTTGGGTTAAAATGGGGTATATATTTGGGACGTAAAAAATGTCAAAACTACACATTTTAAGTAAASATCATGTTTATTCCTTTCAATAGAAACATGCGTATACAACTTAGTTTTTCTTTAATGGCAATACCAAATTTTGCCTAAAAAGTTATTTTTTAACTACAAAATTAAAAAAGATGAAAGAATATACATTTACATATGATTGCTATTTTCAATGATATAATAAGTATGCTTATTATAAACTGTAGATATTTGTGATATTATTAAATGACTTTGTGTATGTAGAGTAGACATAAATGAAATGTTTATTAATAACAAAATTTGAATAAACAATTTTTTAACTATCGTTAATTAAAATTATTTTTTCTAATTTAACAAATACAACTTAGGTGATTTATTAAACAAAGAAAACAAGATAATAAACAAAAAATTGTATTGTACATAATACTATAAAGGGTATTTTATGAAAATTTTAGTACTCTTTTTCATTTTCCAAAAACCTTATTTTAATTAAAGGTTATTCAGAGGAAATATTTAAAAGCCCTTATTATCGTGAAGACATYATATATTCATATACAACCATAGTGTAAAATTCAAATTTATAAATATCTTAAGTAAACAATAATAAGTGTTAACATAATATGCGTAATTAAATTTTCTTAAACATTTTATAATTAATTAAAATTTACAATATTACAATTATTATTTTAAGCTGCAGTTCCAAAACAACTACAAATTTACTTAGCTATATAAAAGCTGTAAAGTGCACTTTTTCAATGAGGTCACTATGATTGATGTATAAAATGATAAATTATTGCAAAAACCGATTAATAAGTATTTATATACCAAAAAAACATATGCATATTATATTGTTATATTTTTACTATTCTTTTAAAACATTAATATTAAAAATTGGTATGCTTACTATTCTTAGGCGATTTAGATATTGTTGATTTTCTACTTGTACCTGGTGGATCCTTTTGCTGTAAAATTAAAAAACTTATGAATTTTTTTTAAATAAAATATTTAGGTACCTATAATTTAACATTAACCTTCCAAAAAATTATATCATATAAAATAACATATAATAAATAATTATGTATATTTTAAAAGCTTAGAATTCAAAAAATTTATATTAAGATTTATATTTAAATCTACATAGGTAGTATATATTTAAGGTTTTGTTTAATTTTAAATTTTATAGTATTACTTAGAATCTAAATTAATGTTGCTATGATACAACGTTGATGAACTTACTGTTAGTGTATTAGAATTACTGGTGCGGGTATTCCTAGTACTCGATTTACTTTTACGACTACTTGGAATAGATGCAGATGATTCATTCACAATTCTGAAACAGTTACAAATTATACATTGCATACATTGATTATTGATAATCAATAGTATTAATATAATAGGTAGCACACAAAAAAATTTTAATACTCACAGTGTTTCAGTATTATTTGAATTTAATATAGCCACATCCACTTGATTATTTGTGCTTTTTTTACTATCCTTRCGAGAACCAACTCTAGATCTAGTATTTCCTTCTATATTTCCCCTCCTGAAATCATAATTTAAATGTATCACTCAATAATGAAGTCACAAATAAAAAAGTATTTGTAGTAATAAAACACTTTTAGTTTCTCTAACCTGGTACTAATAGAAGACGCGTTACCCAACGCGAAACTAGCTTGTTCGGCCATAGACGTCACCTCCAAGCAATTTAATCATGCCACAATCAAATCACAATTCCCTGCAATAGTTTTAATGAGTAAAATAGTTTTTAATTAGGGGATTTCAATGAAAATCACAACCCCAGATTTAAAATCTTTAAAATGAAAAAAAAAATTATAGACACAAAATATTTTATCAAAACAATATAGTAAAAATAACACAATAGATGCTCTTAGATGTTAGTCCCAAGTAGATATGTACTCTAAATTCTGATCGAATGCTACAAACCCAACACCTATCCCTTCCATTGGCACTCACCACAAAACCGGAAGCGATTACTATTGGGATTATTTGTATACAGTGATTAGTTAAAATAAGCTGTGTTCATGATTCTTTGTCGAACACTTAATCCAAATTTGTTTAACGAGAGCTGCCATGATTCAATTCAAMGTCTCGCTAAATGCAAACGAAACTACGAAACTGGCGTCCATGGAAGTAGGAAAGTACAATACTTCACTACCCAAAACGGACCAACGTCATGAAAAGACAATGGAAAAGCAAGATTGATTCAACAGCTGTTAAATCATATGAGTGTGCGCATGCGTGATTTGAGACAAATCAARTGTATACCACATCGTACCGCGGATACCAGGATACTGGGTACTTACTACAACACATCATTGAGGTTATGTACGTGTGTCTACTAACTGTCTATATAGAAGTGATTAGTCTTTAGTGTTTACAATTACAACAATAAAATTGAACAATTTATTGTCTAATAATAATGTTTTATAAATAACAAACCCAAACCAAAGTATTTGAAAGTTCTAAATGTTCTAATCATAATTCATATTTCATATTTAGTAGTTCGTGTATAAAACTTGTAATAAAATATGTAACAGCGTTAAATAACACTTGTGTTGTTTCATCGTTATTTAACTGTACATTGGCGAAATGGAAGGAAAGAAACAAATTGATTTAAAAAAAGAATTTGGTCATTATGCTACCAAGTATAAAAGTTTAAACCCTTTCAATGAAATAGACTCAAAAAAACTTCTCAAAGAAAGATACAAACAAAATTTAGACGATTCCAAACCGTTGGAAGATGAAGAACCGACTAAAACTGTCACCGTGGAATTATTCAAACAAATCCCATTGYTAGAGGATATAAATTTGACTAAATCAGATCCTTTGTGCAATATGCCAAAACTTTCTGAGAAAGAAGCTGTACGTAGAGTGAGGAACAAATTTATACGACTTCAATTGTTATACGCACAAGAATACAGGTAATATTACAAACATTTTATTTTAAATAAAAATACCTACAACTTAATATATATATATATATTTTTTTTTTTATAGATATTTATTATATAAGTATCGAGTAAAACGTCGTGAATACTTAATAAATAAAAAATGTGATTCTGAGTCATATGGACAATTAAATAAATCAACAAAATGGACCAATGATGAAGAATATGCAAAATTCCGTAAGCTAAAACTTTTGCAACACTATCAAAAAATGACAATAGGGCAAGAGGCAGTAGTATTTAAAACAGCAATGGATAGAAAAATAAGAGCAACTTCATTACTAAACAATAAGGGAAAGTCACATCTTCCACATTGTACATATGTAGAAATGGGTATAAAATGCACAGGAAAAATGATACCAAAAAGTAAGTATTGCAAGAAACATATCCTCAAAGATCCAAAGCAAATTTTATTCAGAGCTTGCAATGTTCTTCAAAGTGATAACCAGTGCCAAGAGCCAATTGTCAATTTTGATACCAAATCTACATGCGTTTTACATGAAATATTGCCAATGCTTCGAGATTAAATATTTATCTATAGATATACTGAGTATATTTTATGTACTTCAATTTAAGACCCCTACTGAAATACATTTTTTAGCTAAATAAGTACTCTTATTTTAATTAAAAAAATTGTTTATACTTAAACTAAAATAATTTCTATGTAACAAATATAATTAATTAATCCATGATTATTTAGTTATGTTTAAACCACGCTGTTAAGTATTGGATATTTAATATTGGTCTAAGAGTATGAAAATGTACATATAATACATTTAATTTGCTATTAAATTAAAAGAAAAAATTTTGACATTATACTATTTATATAGCTAATGTTTATTTTTATTAACAATAAATATGTGTTATGTGTAATGATATATTTTATTTTCATCAAATTTATTAKTTATGGTTATCTTTAGAAAACTTGGTATATCAAATACTAAACAAAATATGTSGACATTTAGGGCTGCTTACAAAAATAGTAATAMAATTGCATGTCTCAAGTGTGAACATAAACAGAAGTCTGGCATAAAGAGGAACTGTACAAATATTAGTCATACCCAATGTGAAAAGGTCAAAAACCTCGAGTTTCTATTAAGCTTACTCTCTCAAGTCAAAGTATGGTGATTCAAACAGAATATTTTAAAATTGATTAAACAATTTTCAATGAATAATAATATCTAATATTTTCCTAACTAAAGAAAGTATAAATGTTTAAAAGATAATTAACCGGGCTTGAAGAGTATCCGAAGAAAAATACAAATCGGTTTCACGCTTCCCTGATGTAAACAAAATAGTATTTAGTGATTTTTGCATATACACTGAGTAAAATACTATGTTATGCTTATTTTTATAAATGAATGGAATCAAAMATTTAGTTGAATTTGTTTTGTAATTGCTCATAAATTATGTCTAAAATTAGAATTTAAATTATTGGAAATTTATCAGAATGTAGGTATACTTTATTAGTAAAAGAACATTCAGTACCTAAATCCACATATCATCGGTGCATAAGAATAGTGACAATTCAAAAATTGTCATTTTCAAGGTTATTATGAAAATGCATTGCAAAATACCCATATTTTTATGTGCAAGAATGACATTTTTTAGGTTTCCAAAAATCGCCGTAAGATAGGTGTAGTATTGTCGCACTATCAAAATTTTTAATCCGCTGTACTGGAAAATCTACTGTTTTGAGTTGTGTCACTATTATTGAGCACCAACATTATATACAATAGATCAATATTATGATTAAATAGGTATTTGAAAAATACAAATGTTTTTTTTTTTTTAATTTCTTTTCCATATTTTCCAATATGCAATGTTATACATATTAATATATAGGAAACAGTACATATTTTGACTGAAGTGTACATACTGATGAAGAACTAAAAAGTATCTTTTTAAGTCCTATAACTTCTGAGCCGACCTTAAAACACAAGACAATAATCAATATTTACCAAATATGGCAATATAGATGTAAGTTTAAAGTGTAGTAAAGATAATAATTATAACAAAATTAGTTAATTCTCAGTTATTTTATTTTTTTAAGTATTGTACTTTCTATAGGAGTCACAATTTTTTATTCTTTTGCATATTAATACAAAGTTGTTCCAAAAAATTATGATTTACCAAAATTAAATAGACAAATATAGGAAGACAAAATATTTTCTAAAAGAACATTAGACTACTATTGGATCCATTAACTGTTTAAGTATTTATTTATGTGAGTTGTTATAAATGTTTCAATCTTACAATTTAAAATTACGTATGCAAAAACTAAGCATATATTTATTATATATCATACATATAAACATAATAGCATGTAATATAAAGATAAAAAACGACAAACCTTAGCAAATCTTGCTTATTTAAACTTGTGAAACATAATTTAGTCTATTCGAGTTCATTTTTGTTGAAGTTGAATAGTTTTAAAAATACGAATCCCAGAATCACATTAATTAAGAATAATTTTATTAATTGTAAGTTTTTCTTCAATTTAATATATTTATGTAAAAAAAATGTATGATACTGTATGCATTTTACAGAGTATATGCAATGTAGTAGTATGATAAAGCGTTTGAAATTAACTAAGGTAAACATTTTATATTTAAAGTTTTTCAAATCATTTCTATAGTAATTTAGACTGTGATACAAAACTTTTCTTTTTAAAGTAGTTTAATGTTGATTGCTCATTAAAATAATTTTATTCATCTATGATTTATAAGTATTTATATTTTATTTTTTACCATAATTCACGGACATAATTTAGTTTCACTGATAGGAACCATAGACCAATTATAAAAAGTTATAGGTGCTATGTACTGACACCTAGATGTATATAAACATGTTTAACTCCACATTATATTATTAAACAAGCCAATAACCTCGAGTAAGATTCTGATAAACCGAACGACCATAAGTGAAAAAGGTACTTAGGATAAATTGCTATAGTAATTTCTGAGCTAAACATAAAGAACAACTGGGAATTGGAAAATCAGCAGTGCATAAATAAAATTAGTAAACCTTGTTTTATCTAATAATTACATTTGTTGGCAACACTACAAGGAGAGTGTCAACAGGTCTAGTAAAGACAGTAAAGTGAATACTGAATAGGCGACAGTGTGCATTTGTTCGTTGAACCGTGACCTACGATAGTATGGCGTGTGGAGTTTGGAGCTCTGAAAGCTCTTATTTTCTTGTTTAATTGTTTTACTACTTGTGATCTTATGGTAAATGCAAAAAATGTTTATGCTAAACTATATTTTGAGTAATACTGTAATACTTGGATTCCTGACAAATTGTATATATTATATGAAATTATATAAGTATATATAATTGCCTGATTTGGCAGCTAATATATACTTATTAAATAGTATTGCTATACTAGTAATCTAAACTACGTACCTTTATATCAAAAACAGGATATAACCACAAGGTAAGCCATGAGCGTGAAATGTTACTATTTCCTGAAACTTGTACAAATGCAGTATATGACTACCACGAGGATAGCATTATCTTATCATTAAGAGAGAAAAAGGGAAAAGTGGAAAGTCAGTTTATATAGGGGAGACCCAAATGGAAAATTCAGATATGAATTGTCTGAGCACCTTCACGTCAGTGTCTCCATACAAATTTAATTCAAACTTAAAAATATTTCAATCATACAAATTTTGGATTTAGAAAATATATCTTGTAATTTTTGAACACCAACATACTTTAACGATTGGACAGTTTTTAGTGCCTATACTAATTTTATTAGTATGAAATTTTAACTTCAGTGAAACTTAAATAAAAACTTATTAATTAATCAATTATAGACAACTTGTTGATTAATTCTATTGCTTTCCTTCTATATACCTCACAAGGATCCACTTTCTGTATCCTACCTAATTTAATTGAAAATGGTAGATATCTAACAAAGTATAGTTAWAGAGCTTTATTTTTAAAACTGTTTTTTTTATTGAATAAATTGTTATATAAAAATTTTACAAGAACTTAATAGGACACTACACATATTTGTAGTCTCCGTTTTACGAGTGCGTAATATAGCAAATTTACGGTTAGCAGATCACATTTAATTCCACTAGTTTAAAAAATTTTAGTAAATTGAACTATTATGAAACTTGATGGTAAGAACATTATCTGTGTTGTATGTGGGGTTTTTTTTGGAAAATTAATTTTTAAGTGAGTTATGAGCATTTTTAATTTACACTTATTTATATAAGCATAACTTGCTACAAAATTGAACTATTGTAAAAACCCCACAATACAAACACAGATAATGTGCTTTACATCAAGTTTCATAATACCTAGGTTGATTCACTCTAATTTTTAAACTAAAGGAACTAATAATGATCAGCTGAGCATAAATTTGGTACCTATGTTATGCACTTGT